AGATAATGGATTATTTACTTCAACCCAGACACTTGATGTTCGCCTTAATGGTTTTGAATTGCTTGATATGATTTGAATCACTTTGAAAAGGAAGATACAATTAAGTGCAACATGTGCTGCACAAATCTGTCATATAAGCTTTATAACATAACAAGAACATGAGTATAGAAGAATGCTGTGAATTCTTGTTCACCAGTAGCCTGAATGCCAGCCCAAACCCCACCCACAACATTTTTTGGTCTGGAAGTTCGGTCTGGACTTGATCCATTGAGGAGTAATTATGATCAGTAAAAAAAATTGTCGGGCCAATCAAATTGCCAGGGTGGGCTTTATACAATGATGGACAGATGATCTGCAGTTACGTTAATCACGTCATCAAAGAGCGCTTGGTTTGAACTGGTTTACAACATAGATGACTGCAGTTGGAGAATTGAGATGTATAGATTCCGCTATCGCACCTATTTTAGAAGAAATCGACCGCGCATTAATTTTAAAAGATGAACAGAGAACTGCAATCAAGGCATTTATCAATCGTCAAGATGTGTTTGCAGTCCTTCCTACGGGATTCGGCAAAAGTTTAATTTATCAACTGGCTCCGATGGTTGCTAAGAAGAGGGACACAGTGAAAAACCCAGTTGTCATTGTGGTTTCACTACTCCATTGGTTGCACTCATGGAAGACCAAAAGAAGCAACTGAAATGAGCATCACGGCGATACAACTCATGTCAAAGCCATCGCTGCATCAAACAATGGTGACACTTTGTTATTCTACTCGCACACTATACCCATACTGGTAGTCACTGTACCCCTTATAAGCAGTGTATTATTATTTTTAGTGTATTGTATTATTATTAAATCATGACTTCTGACGTTGTCTCTCCATTAAAATCAGTCAAGTTATGCTCTGTCAAATGCGAGCAGATTTGTTGGCTTTATTGTGGTGATCTAATTCTAAACGGAGAACTTGTTCATATATACATTCACATTTTCTATTTCATTCAAAAATGTTTTTCGAGTTTGTAAGTACTCCGCAAATCCTTAAATTGTTTTTGCAACATCGGCAAAGGTCGTTAACACACATTTTTCTTTTAAATTCCCAGAGTGTGTGCAGTTCAGTTCTGTTGACAGCTCGCTCAACATACGTCACTTACTGCCTTGCTCTGATTGGTTGTGGATCTATCCAATTTAGTTTTTTTTCCCCCTGGTTCGATTAAAACACGCCTCATAATCAAAGCTCTATGGAGCAGTATCAAACTCACATTCTGAATAGAATATTAGTATGATGAAGTCTGGCTAGTTTGCCAGTGTTTCAGCGCAACAATCTCATTGTCTACGGAGTCAAGCCTTCATGACAAGCACAGTCAAGTTCACTTGAGCTTTTGTAACATTTTGTGCCATTGTAAGTTGTAGTGTGTGTGTGTGTGTGTGTGTGTGTGTGTGTGTGTGTGTGTGTGTGTGCGTGTGTGTGTGTGTGTGTGTGTATGCATGGATGCGTTAATTGTGTGCATAATGTAATAAAAAGTTGTTAAATCTCTGGGTTTAGGCAACTAAACGTTTCAGCGTGTTTTTGTGGGAATGGCTAAAACAGGGGTTACACATTCTAAACAGCACAATCAAGTTCGCTTATGCATTCGCATCATTTTGTGCAGATATAAGTCATGATATTACGTTTGTTATATAAATATCAGATTACTCTCATTTAGGATGCGTTTCGTTGAGTTCAATAACCCGCTATACAAGTTATTCAGTTTCCCTGTGCTCATTCTCTTCAGCTTTAGTGTGTGCAATCAAACAGCAATGAAAAACATTAAAAGCTATGGGGACTGTCATATACAATACATTATTATTGTATAGACTATTATTGTAATAAATTTTGGTTTAGTTGCATTCTTCAGCTTACAGGTATTCGTTCTCTTCAGCTTTAGCGTGTGCAGCTCAAACAGCAAAGATGTCATTTGAAACAGTAGGCCTAATATTTCAGATGTTTAAGTCATGTCACCTTTATTTATATAGCGCTTTTTATAATACAGATTGTTTTCTAAGCAGCTTTACAGAGATAACAGGAAAATAATGTGACGCTTGTTTCCAGAAGAAAATCGCATCACAGTCCAGCTTAAGTAAGTTCAGTGATGTTTCAATTTGTTGTAAAAAAGTTATTAATTTAGTTAATTTATATATATATATATATATATATATAGCCGCTCTGGAGAAAACCGTGATGTCATCATCATCCAGCTCAGTTCAGTTCTCATATAATGGTGTCAATGCAGGCAGAGCAATATTATTGTTAAATATTAAATAAAATGTTAAATTTAATGTCCCCAACTAAGCAAGCCAAAAGCCAATGGCAATAGAGGTGAAAAAGGCAACAGTGGCAAGGAACCAAAAATCCATCAGGTGGCAGAATGAAGAGAAAAAAAAAACCAAAAAAAAAAAACCAGGGTCAGTCATTGAGCTAGTTCTTCTCTGGCCAATGAACGAACAGTGCATGATTATAATTCAGGCAGTGTACTATTACTGTAATATTAAGCCTTATTTTCATTTATTTTTTTTTAAACATTGATGCATTATTATTAATAACCATCACTTGTCATATTATTTTCATCTACAATATGGTTTGATTAAAATCAATTCCTTACTAATTGTCCGTGCGGAGGCTATTTCCTTTTATTTGTCCATGGCACATGCATTTTGTTTCTTTATATGCACTGCAGCCCAATGTTATTTCAATGATTTGTTTGCATTATTTAGGTTATTTGTTTATTTTTTATTTATTGTTAGATAATCATTTTGGGGAACCCTTTACAATAATGTATCATTTGCTAATGCAACATGGACATTTTATTAACTTAACACTAACAAAGGTTATTGCTCTCTGTTAGTTCATGTTAGTTCACATTGCATTAAATGTAACAACTTTGTATCTTAAAAAAGTCTTAAAGGTTCATGAAACCCCAAACCAAATTTTCTGAGATTTTAACATAGGCATGTGTGTTGAACACCATTGAAGACAATGTTAACATCTGTTAGATTTAATAATAGGGTTAAAATGGTTAAATTTGAGTTTTTTTCCCACTTTTTTCGTCTTCCGGGTTTAAAAAAATTCATCGTGTCCACGTCACCGGCTGTGACGTGGCCGTGCACTGTGAGTGCGTTGACGACTTTTTCTTATCCTGAGTTTTTTATTTTGAGTTTTCTTATCCTATGAGAAGACACGGTCTCTTAATTATTCATGACACCACGTGGATCTTTTCAACGACAGACATGTCAAACTGTGATATCGCGTAGTAGATGAGAGAGGCAATCATGACCGGACGCAAGTATTTGTTTTCATGGTGCAAAGTCCAAGTGCGTTGATGTTCCCGTGATGCTGCCAGGGCTAGACTCTGGCTCTTGACGGTTGGTTTGCCATCAACCATAGACACATCTAAACATGATCTAAACTATAGTGTGTGCCACATACATTTTCTCGAGAGAGAGAGAGAGCTGCGAGAAGTGGAGAATTGTGGACTTCGCCTTGTTGACAACTAATCCAAGTGGCGTCTTGCGAGAGATGCGGCGGTATCCCGAGGACTTTTCTATCCCTTCAGATGTGTGTGTGTGTGTGTGTCTAAAATGAGAAGTCATCCACCTCTGCAGAGCCATCTTTATTATGAGGGTTCAGAGGGCATGTAGACTATGCACAGAACGATTTTTAAAGCAGAAAATTAATAGTTTTTTTTTTCTGAAATGCATTTATAGTGTCTATATAAACCACTATGTATTTTATAATGACATTATAATTATACATGTAGTCTACATTAATGTGTTTTAAATAGAATTACTATTACTGTAGGCTAATATATGTAGCAGGGCATTCAGTTACTTTTGAAAGGACAATAATAAAGTGTCAGTGTATTTCATAAGACTAACTTTGCCAGCTATATATAAAAATCTAGCATTTCCTCGTGTTTTATCATTTCTTTTTAGTGACAGTCGATGTGCATGGGACATGGCCATACTACACCCACTCCCTCCCTTCTTCTCACAGCTAGCCACGCCCATTTAAGTTGCATTTTTCAAAAAGATTGTGAGCTAGACTTGAGCTGAAAGAGGAGGGTTTCTCGACCCTTTAAATGTTGAGATTAACATTACCTAAGATAATAAATGCTGTAGAAGTGTTGTTCATTCATTGTTGGTTCATGTTAACTAATGCTAACAAAATTAAATCGTATAGTGGTACCATTTTTTGATACAAAAATTTGGCCATAGGAGTGTAAAATAAAATTTAAAAGTTAAGGAATCTTACACTGGTTCAAACTAGGCTATTGTATTGTATTGTAAAGTGTTTGGGATATGGCTTTTAATGGTGAGACTTTTGTTTTTTTATGTTCAGGCTATCAAAGTCAAAATTTGAATTTAGATTTATCAGCCAATAAATCAAAATGTGAATTTAGATTTATCGGCCAATATATTGGTTATCGGCTTTAAATGTGAAGAATTATCAATATCGCACGTATGTAACAGTTATATGTCCAGTCTACTCCCTGCTGTCTGTGCCGACCTAAAACTTGGACTTTTTGGAATCTTTTGGAGTATTAAAATCATGCAGGAGACATCTGGAAATGTACATTTGCGACATTTCGATGCTTGTGTTAAACATATTAGCAAAGACATCAGCATCATAGTTCATGAGAATATGCCTTATTTTTACAGATCAACAACAGGAGTCAGGTGGTGATTTAGAATGATAATGTACAGTAAAGTGGTCTTTTGCCGCTGACAATATCCCAATTGTACAGTTTTACAGCAACTGCTTTACTTAACTGTGGCTTGTTTATAACACCATTTTCTTCTTAAAAAATGTTTTTGTATAATGTTTGTTTATTTGTTTGTTACTGTCAAAAGTTAGCAGTAAGCAGTCAAGGTTTTTATTCCCTTCTTACTTTTATTTTGTGTTAATTACGGTCACATAAATAGATGCTAACTCAATATTGTGTGGTTTTTCTATTTTTTTACAGGAGTTTTTTGAGCATGCAACGCATCTGTGGGACGATGAGGGGGTGAAGGCCTGTTTCGAGCGCTCAAACGAGTATCAACTCATCGACTGCGCAAAGTAGTGAGTATCTTTTGATATGTGTCAGCTTTACTCCTACAGTAGTGTTATCAACTGTCATAGCATGTCTCTGCTGAATTTCTGTGATGATTGCTGTGTGGAGATTTCTTGTTGCGTGCAGCACAACCCATTGGATAATGTAGAGTGGATATATGTATTTGTGTGACCCACTAGTGCAGTGCAGTGTGTCCAAACTTTCTCTTCGTCCCACTATTTTAATATTTTGATTCCTATACATCTCATGAATCAGTAAGATAAAACTTTTATAGATGTGTTATTTACAGAAATCGAGCTAAGAGTGCTCCCTCTATAATCACTAAAGCTGTCGATCACTTCAGTTCACCATGGGCTCATTGTCGGTTAAAAAAGCTGTCTACTCTTCACTGCACAATGAAACTATTATTAGGGCCCGAGCACTAACGGTCCGAGGACCCTATTGAAACTGTTAGGATTATTTTTTTTCTTTTTAGGGCCCGAGCACTAACAGTGCGAGGACCCTATTGAAACTGTTAGGGTTATTATTATTAGGGCCCGAGCACTAACAGTGCGAGAAAAAAAGCCTCAAGAACCCATACCCTAAACTCAACAGGAAGTCAGCCATTTCTAATTTTACCGCCATTTTTGGATGATTTACTCACTACGTACTTTAACGAACTCCTCCTAGGGATTTAGTTGGATCAACTTCAAATTTCTGCTGTGCCTTCTAAAGGCATTGACGATGAAAAGTTGTGCTACCTGCGCGTTTTCGTCGATGGGCGTGTCCGAGGCGTAGACGATTCGCCATGAAACAGGAAGTTGTTGTAACTTCAGTGTGCATCCTCAGACCTGCGCGAAATTTTATACGTTATACAATAGTCCCGCCCTGAACACATGTAAATGCTGAAATTAGTCCACAGTCATAGCGCCACCTGCTGGAAACAGGAAGTGACCTTTAACGAAGCAGCCCCCGCCGCACGTTTGACCTACATGTACGGAATTTCTTTGGCACATGGATCATGTCCAGACGTACAAAAAAGCCTCTTGGAGCAATGCCCTAAACCCAACAGGAAGTCGGCCATTTTGAATTTTACGTTAATTTTTGGTTGATTTGGATGCATAGCAAATTCACAGCCACACTGGCTGAGCTCCACAATATACAACGCAGCCGCCTCACACCCCGACGCGCTACAGGTGGGAGGGCCCGCCCATCGCTGCTTGTATTCAACAATATTATTGTTTTGACTGTCCTGACACTGTTGTATGAGAACTGAACTGAGCCTTGATGACAACATTTTTTGCAGTACTGCTTTATAGATGAAATGAACTAATTTAATAATAATGAAGATCTTTACAATGGATCTGAAACACTGAACGGACTTCAGCCGAAATGCATAATTTTTCCTGTTTATCACTGTACAATAACAACTTTGAAATAGGGCTGCCACTAACAACTATTTTTGTTTCAATTAATCAAAACAATTAATTTCCCACCAAAAAAATCAACAATTTAACATAAGAACATTTTATGTCTTGCAACTTTGGGATTCAAAAATATAATATTAAAAAAAGTATACATGTAAACTGTTTCAATTAAACCCTAACAGTTGGGTTTTTTCACATTAAACAAATGCAATGTTTAGAGTCAACTGGAATCAAGTATTAAAATGTAATTAAAAACTACTCTCAGAAATGTGTAAACAACAGATTTAAACAGACATCTCCAGCATGATGAAAAATATAACTTCAGTAGTGAAACTCCAAATGGAATCCAAATTTCTATGAAATCCTTTAAAGCAAAAGTAAAGTAGAGCTGCAGCTATCAATTATTTTAGTAATAATCGGGTATTCTACCCATTTTCCCATCAATAAATCGAGTACTTAAATGTGGATAAAAATGTGGTAAAGAGATCCAAGTGAACAACAGCCTTTAAAATACAAATGTATAATAACAAGTAATAACAATTGGTTCAAATAAAGTATCAAAGTAATCAAATGGGTTTTATTGAACAACACTGTTAAAATACACCATACACCACCAACGCGCTACCAAGATGGTGAGTGCTGGCTCCACCCACTTTGGGCTTCAAAAGTGCTCTTCAGAAACCTACGGGTGACGTCACAGACACTATGTCCATTGTTTTATAAAGTCTATGGTGTGGATGGTGAGTTAGTTTAAAATGTTTGTGATACTAAAGTTTCACGTTAGAGAAGTGTCATGTTTAAATGTTTTGCTACTTGCTTATTATATTATGATAGGATATTATAGGATATTATAATAGAAAACTATTTATAAGTAATGAACTGAATATATGTTGTTTATATTTGTGTTTAAAGCCATGGACCAGTAGTGCACTGTAAACAGGTCTTATCCGAAAGCTATTATCGTGGGATGCTTCTGCAGCACATACATACTACAATACATATGTACTGAAAACGGACCATGTGTGAAACATGCTTAAGAAGCGTGCCTGCAGTAATCACAGTGACCATCAAAGTTCCCTCTATGCTGCACGCATAATTGAAGGTCCTGTACAGCACAATTTTAGACTGCACAAAAAAACTAACTACAGCAGGGGTCACTTTTTGAAACTGAGAGCTGCTTCATGGGTACTGAGTCATATGAAGGGCTACCAGTTTGATACGCACAAATTTGCTCAGTTTGCCTTTAGTTATGCATTATTAATAATGATTAATGATACTATGTGAAGACACTGATCACGTTAATGATTTCTCACAATAATTATCAACAATGACAATATGGTGGGAAGCAGATATCAATATTCAGCTTTTAATCTCAGTAATGGTTACATTTTCAGATGATCACTTACATCACTTCATTTCATAGGAAAAATGTCCCATTTTCACGAGCCACTGAAACCCTTTTAGCAAATCATGAACTATGTTGCAAAAAGTTTTCAATTATGTAGAAAAAGCAACTTACTTTTAAATAAATCTTGTCACATTTTGAACCAATGACCAAAATCTGCTGAATTTAACACACTTTTAAATTGAATTTAACACAATTCTTCAATATTCAAAATTCATCTTCGCCACGGTACTGCCATGTTGCCACTGACAACATCTGGTATCTGTTTCTTTCCTAGTGGGAAGACTGGCATTGCATGCTGTTCACCAGTGTATTGTAATCTGGTGTGTAACTTGACACTGCAACTGTGAGTGAGTCTTTCAGATGTGCATCAGTGAGGCGTGTGCTGTGTTTGTTCTTTATGAAGTTCATGTCAGAAAACGCTGATTCACAGAGATAGGTTGAACCAAACAGGCTAGCAACCTTCTTAGCTGCTGTGCATACTCCACTATACTTCTGTTTCACCAAAAGTTTTGTGCAGTCTGGTAGGCTTTGAGGTGGAGGTCATTTTGCAATGTTATTATTTCAATCTCCACCTGTCCAGCATCCAAGCTGAACGTTGCACTTAGTTTGTCAGCAAAGAATGTTGTGTCCACATTCATGAAAGTATTGGAAATGAACGACACACGTGGCTCAAGCTGATGAAGGTCACAAAACCTATTCTCAAACTCTTGCCCAAGTCGGTTTGCAGCGTGCAGTTCAAGTCATTTATGGCTCGTTTCCACTGAGTGGTACGGTACGGTACAGTTCGGTTCGGTACGCAATTATTTGCGTTTCCACTGTCAAAAGTTGTGAATGGTACCAAAAAGCCGAACCGTACCGTACCACTTTTTGGATACCCTTTCGTTAGGGTACCTAGCACAGTGAAAGGGTACTGAAAGGTGGAGCTAGACTCACTGCAGAACGCTGATTGGTGGACAGAGTATCGTCACTCGCGCGTGCTACAAGGGCATAGAAGCATATAGCTGAAATATAATTCTACTGTTATTGTGTCACGAAATGTAGTTTTAAGACTTTTTCAGGCGAGAAAGTAGTTTTTTAAAAATCAAATCTGTGGTTTATTTATAGATTTTTGATAATTTGACTGAGATCCATTCCAAGCGATCACCGGACGCTCGCGCTCGTGTCCCCCGCCTGGAACAGCCTTTCCTCGGCTAGTCATCCTGATGTTTGCCGCTGACTCGGACGTCTCTGTAGTGGTTAAACATGAGATATAGTTCGTCTTGTATAAACCTAACTAGGGATGTCCCGATACCACTTTTTCACTTCCGATACCGATACCGATGCCGCAGCTTTGGCTTTTGCCGATACCGATATTAATCCGATATTTTTATTTTATTTTTAAACCCCTTAAAATATACCTCCAGTGTATATATATATATAAAAGAAAATGCATGCACTTCAGTACTTAAAGCTAGCTATAGCTACCAACAGGTTTAAAGTTAAAACAATTTAAACAGCAGCATTCTACATTGTAAATACCAGTACAGTTTTTTTTAAAGCAAGTAGAATTTCTATAATTGTGTGTTCAACTCATTATCACTCTAGTGTGTGTTAAACACAATCCACAGGCAGCTTCATAATAAAGATGAACAACAAATCCCCAAAATATATGATCATAATCAATGACAAAAAATGCTATTATAAACTAGATTAGTGAATAATAAATATTGCTCTTTGTATTGTTGTAAAATACATTCATGAAAAACAATATAAGAAAAATTAAAAAGATAATTATTATAATTTTTTTTTTATATAGCCAAGACTACAAAAAAATTGAGACATGTTCTAAGTGTATAGCACAGCTATTTAATGAGGCAGCAACATTAATAATTATTAATGTTAATAAGCTTTAATTGCGTCACTGCATTATGATATGAATGACTCCAACACAGTGCGGCACAAAGCGCTTATGCGCATTCCGAGCGCAGAATGATGCGCTTGAAACCACGTGGAGTAACAGCACGCAGCCGAGTATGCACCCTATGGTATGCACGCTGCGCGTCGAGTCCGCTTTGAAAAGTTCAAAGCATAAAGGAAATACATATTGATGGACAATGTATTAAACAGTATCTATCTATGCAATAGTTTATTGAGCCTTTTCTTTAAACAGTTTTAAATTTCAGTTACTGTGCGCGTGAAGAACAATAGTGCTCTGACTCTAGTGTTGTGATCTA